TAGTGTTTTTGGACTATTAAAATGATTATGTAGGACGCTCAAAGCTGATTGCTTGAATGTCAAAACATTTTGCAGCATTGTTCATCATATGCTTAAGTTTTCTAATAACTATTTTGATCCAACAAAATTCGTTTTGTAAATTATTTAAATATAATAACCTTATTCCATATTTAACAATAAAAATTATTCAATATTAATTAAAATGAAAATGATATTAATATAAATATAATGTTTGATATTAATAAAACTTATAAAAGTGCATCAGCAGAGTTTCCATACTGATTCAAAAAAACTTAACTACTCCACTGCTCTGTAGAAAAACTCGTGTAGAACTTATCGCGACTGCAACCGTTTTGAGCACGACGAAACATTTTGATGCAATACTTGAAACGTACAAGATACAAAGTTGTAAAGCAGCAAACTTGGGCAATTAAATTTCTCGCTCTCTAGCGCGCTATAAAAAATTATCTTGCGGTTGGACGACCATAAAGAGCAGACTCCACTTAGCATACCCGCAGTTTTCAAGCAATATTTGCTGTGGTAAAATTGTAAATTTTAATTATGAGAAATGAATCTAACGATATAAGCATAAGATTTTTTTCCCGTAGCTTTGACGATGGAAAGGTACTATTGAAGCGATATTTATGTACAATTTTTTATAATAATATTTTTATATTTATTAGCCTATGAATAATTGCAAAACAAGTCCGAGCAACAAAAACCTATTTATTTGACGCATGACGCGGAAAAAATAATACGCGAGAATATATTTTACATATCGAACAGATGTTTACGAAAACATTTTGAGAAACTTCCACGGAAGACTGAACTCGAATTATTTATCGGATCTTCGTTCGCCGCGCTGAACTTTGCAGCGCGTTGCAATATTCACTGATGCGACTTCTTCTTACGATGACGAGTGGGAACTTTATGTGTTATTGCTTTAACACGAACACTATCGAGCAATACATTTTGTTAATATATCTAATATGTCAGATACATCAGATCCACACACCGAATCAACTTATTAACGTATATCTTGTTGGTTGGATTTTTCCGATGGCATCTCTGCATTACACAGTCACATTTGAAGCTCGTTTGCTTCAGCAAAGCTACACTTTGCGTGTAATCATGCCACTTTTATCGCCCCTTGTTGATAAGTGACACGTGTGCACATGTCGTTTACACGCTATAATATTTTACATAAATGGCGTTTAACGACTTTATCATGAACAATCCTTATCGACTTTAACTTAATAAGATCTTTCAGAGAAAAAGCTTCACACGGATCTCGATGATATCGGATGCTTAAATTATATACGTATACGCGAAATCCGATATGTGTGTATACAAACGCGCGTTGCGCACCGTTAGTGTAACACAGTTATTACTGACGTGTAGTTACCAGCACGGCTTTAGTTGCTTTTCAATATGCGGGTACATGTTGTTCGTGTACACGGATTTTGTAATACACGTGAGACCTGTAGTCGTGTCAGATTACAGCTGGCAAAAACGGGAGAGATATCCAATAATAAAAACGTACATCGCATACACGTTGGTTAAGTAACTCGGTTTAACGAACGGCCTGAATCCTTTGATCACTATACCAAATAATTTAGATTTTTTTATGCATGAAAGTTAGTTTAATAGAAAACACGTGTGCATGAGTAAAAAAAAAATACATCCATCGGAAGTACATATTTCTGCTCCGTCTACGGATTTTTTTTACAGTCAATTTACGCGAATGACGTTTTTAGCGCAATATTTATTCCACTCAATGATTCTTGTTACAGTAAACATCCAATTCTGAATATATCTCCAAGTAGCAAAAATAACATTTTGTAAAATATAAAATGTACAAACTTTTATTTGAAATAGCTTGAGATTAATATTGAATGAATAATGAAATTATCTTGTCGTTCATTCGTACCGTAAAAATTATTATCAGTCAATAATATCGGAACTTTCCCGTTTATGTAAAGGCGATTCTAGATTGATTAAGGAGTCTCGTGCTAATTGTAGATAAGAGCACACGCGGAGATTCCAAGTCTTACTATATACACGCGTGTCTGTCCGTGGAGAGTCGAGAAGATAAGAAAGTTGAAGCTGGATTTACCATTCGAATTAATAACGAGAAATCCAGACTAATAATGGCATGCATGGGAAATACGAGAGAGTAGATAGAGTCTATCGCGTTACTGATTCACATATGCTTAGATAAAACAACGCCCCTTTGACCCGCCCGTTAAAAAACGATACGTTCTCGTTGGCAAGACGTACACAGGACTTGGTGGTCGGGAAAGCTCTCGCATTTACGTCTTGCCGTCGCTCAAAGAAAGCCTTCACCACGGCTGCGCGTCCCCTGTGAATAACGTTCGTTATTCGTTCTGGAAGTGAGTTTATTACATTGTGAGCAGGCACTACGGGGTTTTACAGCTAGGTAGATATAAAACATCGTTGGCATACAAAGTGCAAAAACGCAACCAGGTAGGGAATCCTTTCTCACGTACGTACGTTTGATATACAGTCCTCTCTCCTTCAACTTTCTTATCTTCATTTATCTAACACTTTCGTGTAGAAGAATCTGAAGCTATCTTCACAGCTCCGAAGAAATAGGACTAATGGATCCTATCACTATCGTTCTTTAACAAATTGATTTCTCCTAAGCAAAAATTTAATTGCTTGTTACTGTCTATAAAAAATATTGTCAATTCGAACGTCAATTCTTGTTAATACAGTCCAACTTGAAATTTACTATTTTTTGTTTTAAAAACTGATTTTATTAAACTCTTCTAAAATTTAATAAAATATTTTTTTTTAATCAGTATTTACTCAATTTTTTATGCTATCAACTACAAATTTGTCAAAAATGGTTCTCTGGTGTTTGTTTCTTTTTTTTAAAACACTCGGCACGTAAGCTTGATCGATATCTTGCTACGCTGTAATTACCATTACTGTAACAGCGCCGTGATTAAAAAAGTAAACTGCTCAGAGTAAAACGAGAAATTCTCCGTAGCATTCATTGCTTTTAGATCGATTCTCGATATCGAATAACGAAGAGAGGAGATGGATGAAGCATAAAGTCTCAGAAAATGCAAAAATATCGATTACGCTTTGTAGTCATTGCATAGTTTATTTCATGCAAGTAAATGTAAAACTATCTTGATGTTTATATATTATCAAATTTTATTGCAAGTTTTATTTTTATACATAAGTTTGATAAACAGCATATTCTAGCGTAATGTGAATTTAAATTTGTTAAACTCTTAAACCGTCCTTATTTTAAACGATATTTAGATGAGATTATACCTAATTATTAAAAAATTTAGATCCTTTATTAGGAGCCGTTTCGAAAAAATTCATTAATTATTGAAAGTTCTGGCTTTATTTCGAACATTCCTATAATCACTATCTTTTCCAATTTCTCTGGAAGAATTACTAAAAATACGTTAAAACGACAATACAACTTATGCATCAATATCGATTTAGCGATGTATCTCTTACGGCTCAAAATCTGTTCGTGAGAAAACGGACGATGCGCGATAATAACATTTGGTTTCGCATCACATAGTGCATTCGACAGCTGTATTATAATACACAGAAAATACATGGTGTGTATTATATTACATACAGAGAATTCGCGGCGAGACGAGAGCGCAATCGCGTGACTAGGCGCAGACAGGGGCGAGGAAACATTATTGAGCACGTGCACATAAATGTTTCTGAACAGGCTCGTATTTTACTTCATTCCGCACGATAAGAACCTTCCACCACCGTGATCCGAACAACTCATTTCTGACAACCCATTCATCGTTTTCCGCGGCACGTAACCTACTCTCCACGATTGCGCACCACTTTCAGACGCAGTTGAAACAGATAGAAAACGGGGGTACACACATTTTCAATCCCATTATACGTTTTCAATTATTCATCTTATCGTACGTACTTCGAAGCGTAATTAAACATTTTCCAAGTTCGTCAATTTCTGATCGCTTTTGGCATTTTGTGAGTCGTGTACCATTACATAATGCATTTTCTAAACATTTTCTCTTTCGACAGCAAATTTTCAACAAATAAACATTTTTAATTCGATATAATATGTAGTGTAATTTATTTAAATAATTTAATATTAATTATTGTAATTTATAATTAATATCATTAATATTAATTAATACAATTTAATATACATCGTTAAATTCATAATATCAAATTATATCCAATTTGATTTTATTTTTATTCATTACTAAATATAAGTTGCTACTAATCTTACTCAATATGTGTTGTTAATTTAATTAAAACAGCAAAATTAAACAATTTAATTCAAGAAAATATATTAATTTAAATTTAGTTGATTATTAAGTGCATACATTAATATGGACGTTTATTTTGAAACTGACTCCAGAAATTATTTACGTTTTGACACACATGGAAGTTAAAAGTAACAAAATGTTATTTAATTCAAGAGATTGAGTTATACTATATTGCTCCTTTGATATCTGACAGAGTATAATAATATAATATAAATTTTTCTTTGTCATACATTACATAAAGAATTTTAAAATAATACACTCCAGTTCTTCGTATTATTCTATAAATTATGAACTCGAAAATAAATTGATAACAAGAATCATATCACAGTTACTCAATTTCGTCCACTGTTAAGAGTGTTTACAGATGTTTGTAGCCATTAGAGATACACAGTATCCTCCAACACTATCGCGCGCTACTTCTCTTGATTACTCGAGCGAATCTGAAACTCGAGAATAAACCAAGAGAGAGGCGATCGTTGTTTTAATGTTGGAACGTCGCGATAATTCTTCACTTGCAATAGAGTTCGAAATTAAAAAATTCAAAAGGTATAAGCAGATAACAAAATGTTAGACAATAGATTTTTTAAAGTAATACACTATACTGGAAATATCTCACGATAAAACGTTTCGAACTTGTTTAAGGTTTGTTTAAGGTTGAAGTTCTTTGCGCCTTCAAGGAAAAATACAGAAATGAGATTTTATTTCCCTCAACGTTTTCTGAGCGTGCTTCTGCTGCTCGTCGCTTTGACGTGCGCCACACAAGCTAGCAGCCTCCGAGCGAGGCGTTCTGTCTGGAATGATATCGGAAACACATTGAACAACATCGGGCAGACAATCAAGGGTACCATGAAAACCGGAATCGACTCTCTATTCTACCGACATTCGACTGCCGATCCCGAAACGATCCAACCGACCTTGGAACCAAACTGGAACGGAACGACGCCATTAAGTTGGAATGAATCGGACTATCGGGAAATCATAAATGCTCCTATCAGATGCCCGCCTAATCATGTATTAGTAAAAGATCGATGTAGAATCGAAGCTCGTCGATGATAAGCCTCGTCAGGTTTCAGAAAACATCGTGTTTCCGATATTTTTCACAATTTTATCTATCACACGTACAGTAATTTTAAAATCTTATATTATATATAAATTCTAAAATTTTAATGAACTCTTCTCAGATTTTTAAGAAATATATTATTTTTTAATTAATGCAAATTGTATTTATGATCATAATCCATTAACATAACTCAGAGAATGTCTATATCTATTCAGATTGCATAGCTCTGAGAAAATTTAATTATTCGCAGTAAGCGATGTGACTTGACAATTATAGCTCGTCTATTATTAAGGATACCTATAATGTATTTGTGGAACGAGATGTAACTATTTCATTTATGTGACATCGCTATATGTATTCGTAGAGCGTCAAATGATAATGTAATTAAACGTTTCATAATGATATTAATATCAATTAGCAGAAATGTGTTAGTTGTTAAATAATTATCCATTATTCTACGTAACGCTATGCTAAACTTAAAGCACAGGTAGCTATTTTATAGTAGTACGCTGGTATGCTTTATACTGGTACGCTTATCAGGTAAATCACGATGTCGACATTAGTCTTGAATAATAGCATAATTATACACTTTAGCGTGGTAATATCATCCACTGACACTTTGACATAAATTAGTAATTAATTTTTTTCAACTTTAAAGGAATATTTACTATTTAACGTACTATTATACTCGCGGGATCTGCGATTCATTCCGAGTATGTTTATTGCCGTCTCGTAATTAAGAATTATATATATCCATATTGTTTATGCGTTTTCTCGCTTGCTCCTCACGTCCGCGTAAATATCATATAAAATCAGGCGGAATCTCGTTGCTGCCGTTTAACGTTTTCTTTTACGATCTCTGGGTAATATATTTCGCACCCGAGGTTCGCGCTAAGTACCCGTTCGATTTCTAAATTACACCTGTCACGAATATAAAACGAGAGTTACAGGGTAGGCGATAGATCAGGCGGTATAATAATAACGCGGCGATACATATCGAATTCTCTTTTAATGACTGTATCGCGTGTAAACTGTAAAAACGCGATCGTGGAGATAGATAAGCGTATACATTTGTAGGATTAATATATCGTTTACTTCCCTAGTCGCACAAAACGCCGCTGCGCTATTGTTTCCCTTATCTGCCGCGTATTTCCTCAATTATCAATTACCAATTATTATGCTCGTGACACGGCTCTTCACGCGCACGAGAAACAATACACCCACGCGCTCGCGACATACACATATATTAAACAATTAACAGTCACATTTATGAATAAAAATCGGTTGATGCAGTGGATAGTATTGTAATAATATTTTTAATCATATGTTATAATTTGCTGCCATAATTGTAATTTTTGAAATTAAAAAAAAAAGAATAAGAGTAACATAATTTCATTCCTTTGTAATCTGTTATCAAAATTGCATTTAAAAATTAATTTTACGAAAGTCTAATGAATCAAAACATTCAAATTTTTATTCTCTGAAAAACTTTTTGAGTTTTGCTGTAGGAAATAAGCAATATATAAAATATAAATATTTGTTTAACAAATATAAATATTTGTTTTTCTACAATTCTTTTAATTGTGGTACGAGGTAATTGCATCAGTTCGAATCAATTTACATTATTACGGAATTTTCGAATTTCTGCTTGGACGATTTTTTTTTATTGAGTCAATGAACAGGAATATTTCATGAAACGTCCAGCATTGTCTTTCAAACATCAGATCGCTTTCGTTACATTATTGGAACGTTATTTTATCATTCATTTTACCGACATTGCCACCTTCTCCGTAAAACGTACTTTAGTGAAGACAGGGCTCGTTCGGAATGACTGATTCAATTCTCGCTCTCCACCACTACGTTTCTTACACAACAAAGCGCTCTCGTGCTCCGCGGCGCTTTCGACTTGTCGCCGTGCGATATGCCGGTGTTGGGAGGGACTCCATATAAAGTACAGCTGTCGCTGAATGGAACGAGACCTGAATTTGCGTGATCGCTAATTGTGACTGCAATGCCTCTTTGTGACCAGCGCGCACTCCTACACTCTCTACTTGCACACGTATCCGTAGAGAGCCGGCCAGATTTCCTGCTCATTGTCAGAAGTAGACGGCCCTCTCGGCACTTGTTGCTCGCACATCGACATTTGTCTGGCGCACCATTATATCGCGCTGCATTTCACTTCCGACGCCCGCACTCTTTGTCAAGTTAGGCTCGCGCCTCCGTGCTGCGCATCGAATCCATGAAATGTGCATTCGCGTGTTTTGTCCTTTCAAGCGAGCCTTATAGAAGAGTAGTAGGCAGCCACTACAAGAGAGAAAATCATAAAGGGACGTTGTGCCGCAATAGCTTTATGCGTATCGTCTTTCAAGCTACTTCAGAAGTTACGGTGGAAGAATCAAGGAGCCAATGTTCGACAAGACAACTTACATCACTTGTGTATCAAGATATTTTTAATCAAAATTCGAGTCTTATATTTTTTATATAAACCTCATGTCTATAAATAATGTAAATGAAATATACGTTAAAGAAGATAATGTTAAGAAAATTCAAATAAATACGTGTAATACCGACGATTGTTCGGCGCGCAAGTTGGGGGGGGGGGGGGGAAGGGAATACATATACATATATCACTTTGAATAATATATTGCGAAGAATATTACTACGTCGACCCGCCATCAGAGGTCTATAGATATTCGCTAAGATTCTCGCAAGTGCTTTGATACGCGTATATCTGTATATATAGAATCTCGATTTAATGACTAAAACAGGCGTCTAAGGTAGGCTTCCATTACAATACCTTACTGATGAGTCCAGTATTGGAAGCCGGGACGAAACGCCAACATTACGTGATATTCTTCGCAATATATTAGAATTAATAGAATTAATAGAATTAAAGATTTTAATGAATCTCAGGCTCGTAGCCCTATTCTCATATTAGTTTTAAATACGTGTAAATTATTTAAATAATGACAATGAGCCAATTTTTTTTTACAGAAATCCAATATTGGCCAATTTATTATTGAAGGACAGTAATAAATTTCTTATTTGGGCTATTTGTAATATTAAAAGCATTGAATGACAATGCTGTTAATATTTAAAATAAAGTAATTACTGTTTTTCGGCATCAAATTTGCCAGTATTGGATTTGTGAAGATAAGAGATGGCACGCGCGAGAGACATTATACGGAGCGAAAATCGTTAGATCCTCACAGTTTTACATATGTAAAATCGCAATCGAAAAAGGTCGTATTTTTTTTTGCTTAACGTTACAAGAACGTGATGATATTCCGTTATAATTCACCATCACATTACATCGTGCATTATTCTCGTCGGTATGGTAATCCTTTCTTTGCCTCGCTTTACGAGCACCGTCTTTATTGGATTTTCGCGACCGACGACGTTTCTGTATTCGACTCCTGAAAAGAATGTTTCATCGCTACTATTCGAAGAAGTAACTTCGAGCGACTGCTCCTTTCTTCTGTTGTTTTTTTTTATTGCAGCTACTACTTGTTATTGCCGCATGTTCGGGTAGATCTCACGGCTGGGAATTCTTGGCGAGATGTCTTTTATGGTAATTTGAATTTCAAATAGAAGGTAACATAATGCTTATAAACGATACGAAAATAAGATGAAATTCAATGTGTGAACTTTTGACGATTTTAAAATTGAAAGCACAAATGTATAAATAAGTATTCTTCTTTGTGAATGTTGGAGATCCTTATTGATAAATTATCACAGCGCATCACAAAATGCTCTACTTTAATAATTCGCTTTAACGAATAATTAATTCGAAGGGAATTTCGGAAGACGCGTTATTATTTATTATAATCTTGTATATCTCTCTAATTTCGTAACATTTCGTAATTATATCGCAAATCTTGTATTTAATTTTGAAAAATCTATTTAAATTGAGATGAACACACACACACACAATAACAATTCGTTGTCTATTCGTGTCTGTAATTCTGGAACTTCCCTTGTGAATTTTGGGAGTAATGCTGTCTACAGGCAAGTATCAAGACATTTCGGATCTTATCCCGAATGCCTAGGTAATTTTCCGGACATTACCCATGACTTCGATTAACGGCCGACTCCGAGTATCCGAGTGCAGAATGAAAAGAGCATCACTCTTAAGAGTAGAGAAAAAAATATTTTCCCTATAATGTGAAATATTGATTTTCTCAATGCAAAATGCTCACTTTTGTCTTAATTTAACAATGATATGTAATTTATTAATATAAGAGATATAAAGATTTTATTTAAAACTTCAGTAGGACAATTAATCCTACAGAAATAGCTTTTATTAATCGATTATCCAATCTTTTTGCGATATTTGCATAACATCTTCAAACTAAATCTGCAAATCAAAATAAATAATTTTCATAATAATATCAATAAAATAAAAAATATATATTTACTGTACAAGATTTAAAAAGTTGTCAGGCATGACTGTTATTTAAAAAAAAAAAAAACACGACAAACTATTTTTATGCTGAGGTCAATATAGGTAATTATTCTTACTTTTCGTTCTTTGTTTCATTCATCTGTGGAATTTGCATTTGCAATCTGCGTTGAATGACTACTAATAAGTACGATATCGGAAACTGATAGTATAATTATATCGTTACAGTCAAAGCTAATAATAATGCACGAATTACTATTCATAAGCCGCACCATGCTTGTAGCATCCAGTTATAGCAATTACGCGTTCAAACGATCATTTAAAGAGTTGAAAGCCCTCTGAGATATTTACCGTCCCTCCTGCGGAAAAGCAAGCAGGATGCATGAATTACTTCTCTCTCTCTCTCTCTCTCTAATTTAAACTTCCAAAATTCGCAAGGTAATCACTAATTTAAACTCGTATTTTCGACTTGAATAATCATACAGGAGCATTTTAGAGCGTTCACGAAATATTATACGATATGGAAACGTTGTAGACGTTAATAACGGTTCTAAAGCTGCCTAAAGTTTTGACAGAACATAATGTCACGTGACACGGCTAATTGCCTCTATACATTTTCGCAATGATGAACCGCTATCTCTCGTGTAA